TGTTGGTAAATGATGGAAAGTGGCTTGGCGAGCACTTCTGCCAGCTCCCTCAAGAACCTTGGAAGGATCCCATCTGGCCCCACAGACTTGTGTATATCTAAGCCGTGTAGCAGGTCACTAAGACCTCAAACTTTGCCTTTTCTATGTACTTTGTGAAACCAAATGGTCCCTGAAAAACAAACTAGTCTGAACTTCTTGCCACCAACCACGTATCAATTCTATCAGTATCTGTTATTCCTCAGTTAAAGGTGACTTATACAGACAAATCCATTTTTCTACTGAAAACAGCAAAAAGTAATTTCAGCAGCTGTGATTCATCTATAACTCAGAACCAACAGCTTCATCCTTTAGATAACATAGCATTTTTGCCAGGTCTTTCAATGACTTTTCCTTCTTACCTCAACAAAGAAGAATTTATGAATATCTCTTTGAAAAATTACTTTGTTGTTTTACTTTATAATTTACTTTATTGTTTAACATTAGAATTTCGTTTGCAATAACGAGCCCAGTGTATAAGCTACAGAGTTAATTTTCCTCTTTGTAATATGTACTAAATAGAACCAACAAGTTTACTGCAAAAGTTGAGAGAGGTATCAAACTGTGGACTGGCAAGTAAAGCATCTTCATATTTTTATTTTTACTATAAGGCCCCAGCAGACTTTTTGAACTACTTCCATTCCATTATACAAGATTATGTAATACCCTAGTTACTGCAGATTGAAAGAGCTACAGTCTTGTTTTAGTCTTATGGAGCCTTGTAAATACTTAAGACATACTTTCACCTCGGAAAGAAAATATACCATGTAAGTCAGCAAGAAGCTATGACACTGTTTCATAGAAGTGCAAGAAAGTAAAGAAATTCACACTGCCACACCCTACAACTGGCATCCAAAGGAACTGCAGTAATGTGACAAGACCTTTATAAATTACTCCGAAAACAGGGAAGCAAAACAAACTTCAAAACCAAATTATTCAGATTTGGAACAACTTCTGCTCAGGGATTAAAACCATCTTTACAAAAGAACTAAACAAAAATTCAACCAAAAGCTAAGGCAGTGCTTAAAAACTTCAGTCTAATAGTTATCTGAAGAAAAAATGCTTATCAGTATCTTCATACTAAAACCTGTCATCTAGTGAGACTGAATATAAATCACAAATCCAGTCTGCTGGTTTTGCTGTTAGTTCCACACAGGCATTTTCTTAACTCCTACTGCTTGACACTACCTTCTACAACTGAAGTGGTTTCCACAGCAAGGTACAACATACTGGATGAAACTATCAAAATCTAGTTGTTTTAAAATTATAAGTAGAAATGCGATGACTCATTTGTTTTCCTTTTTAAAAAACACCAACAATTTCATTGTTCCCAAATATTTGAAACACGTGGCAGTTTTGATAAGAGGCTTAATTTTGTATTCCCTAATTAAAGCAAAAAAAGTAAAATATCAAAGTAAAAGAGAAGTGTCCTACTACATGCAACATTTACCAACTTCACGCAAGTACCTGCTCAAAATTCATGGTCTTGTATAAAGTATTCTCTCTCCATGTTTCCTCTACAGAATAACCAAAATATATACTTTTCAGATGAAAATACTATTTTCCTGTTCTTTTCAACAGTTTAAGAATTAATTTTCAAATGTGAAGGCAACATTAGAACAACAAAGTTTAAATTCTTACAACAAATGAATATTTTGAGAAATGCTATAATTTTGTTCCCTAAGACTCAAGTGCATGTTCCATTAGTACAATTCTAAGATGCCAAAGGTCCTGAAACTAGCCAGAACTATCTACTGTTTACATAAGAACTTCTTTGACAGAAGTAAGGCAACTTTGATTTAGAAGGAGACAACAGCACATTACCTGAGTCGTTGCGGAGGTATGATGACATTGCTGGGATGAGGCAAGATTGGCTGAGCATCTCTAGGAGGACGGAGGGAAGAGCACTGCTGTTTTGTCCTCTGCTCTCGTGGCTAGTTTGGGTGTCTCCATTTGATGTACTCCCTGCAGGATTTATGTAACTGGCAAGAACCTGAAATACACAAAAATGTTTAATGAAAACTGAACTTTGACTTACCTCCCCTAATGAAGATGCCATAGTACTTCACTAGCTATTTAGCAGTTCATGTATCCAACTTTGGCTAATGATAAAATTAAATAACTATTGTAATTCTGAATGACATTAACTAATCAATACAAATTTTGACAAACCTGCTACAGTTACTTCAAGGAGTTTGCCAGCTCACACCACTGAGCTGATCAGTTCCACTTCCCTTAAAACACCCACTAGCAACAAAAGATTTTTTTTTTTTTTAACTGCAAATGTTTTTAAAACACTTGTAACCTCCTTTTGGATGGGACTTCGGATTTGCAGATAAAACAACTACTTACGGTGAACATGACAGTTACTTGCAACAGCGGCTTGTGCACACATACATGCTTCAGTAAACAACGAGCAACCGTCCCTTCAGTGATGGTGGGAGAATTGCCTCACAACCACACAGCTCAGCCCAAGGAAGGTCTGGCTGAATTCACAGGCCCTTACTGCGTATTGTAGATGTCAAACTAATGCACTTTCATGGGTCTGATTTGTGCCATTGTACTCTGAAGTTAAGTAACTTCAAGGCCTGAAAGGCTGTATTATTTCAAGTCTCAAGGGCTCTATTCACCTTTTTAGCCTCTTCTCCTTTCCTTCATTCTTTCCTTCATTCGCAATAACCCCATGCAGCGCTACACGCTTGGGGACGAGTGGCTGGAAAGCTGCCATGCAGAAAAGGACCTGGGGGTGTTGGTGGACAGCAGGATGACCATGAGCCAGCAGTGTGCTCTTGCAGCCAAGAAGGCCAATGGCATCCTGGGGTGTATCAGAAGGGGTGTGGTGAGTAGGTCGAGAGAGGTTCTCCTCCCCCTCTACTCTGTCCTGGTAAGGCCACATTTGGAATATTGTGTTCAGTTCTGGGCCCCTCAGTTCAAGAAGGACAGGGAATTGCTTGAAAGAGTCCAGCACAGAGCCACAAAGATGACAGAGGGAGTGGAGCATCTCCCTTATGAGGAGCAGCTGAGGGAGCTGGGTCTCTTCAGCTTGGAGAAGAGGAGACTGAGGGGTGACCTCAATGTTTATAAATTTGTAAAGGGCGAGTGTCAGGAGAAAGGAGCCAGGCTCGTCCCTCTGATTTCAAGTGATAGGACAAGGGGCAATGGGAGCAAGCTGGAGCATAGGAGGTTCAATCTGAACATGAGGAAAAACTTTTTCACTGCAAGGGTTAGAAAGCACTGGACCAGGCTGCCCAGAGAGGTTGTGGAGTCTCCTTCTCTGGAGACATTCAAAACCCGCCTGGACGTGTTCCTGTGTGACCTAGTCTAGGTGATCCTGCTCTGGCAGGGGGGTTGGACTGGATGAGCTTTCGAGGTCCCTTCCAACTCCTAATATTCTGTGATTCATTCTCCCGCTTCACACTAACCCCATTACCTATGGTATTGATGCAGCTTCTTATTTTACCAGTACTCTATGCAGCAGGATTTTTCTAAACAAACTTCCTAGAAGAGGGACCAGGCAAATCTGCTGTACAACTGACTGATGTCTTCAGCAAAATGCTGAAGGGTTTTCTACTTCTTCCTCCAATTGCTGACAGCCCAAAGTAAATGCTTCCTTACCTCATAACTTCTAGTCAGTATTCTGCCTATAAGCTTTACAAAGAATAATTCAAGTGATTTTCTTGCTTAGGAAAATTATTTTGCATTTTGCTTGTTTTTGTTTTTGCAAGGGACATGGCTTATAAGCTATAGCAACTGAAATAACTGATTACACCAAAATGGTATCTTCATTAGTCAGGGCATGGGCATTTTCAGAATTTCATCTCCTTTGTGCTGCACCCCAGCAGTGAATTTAGCTAATACATTTGAGCTGACAGTTGCATGAATTAAATCTTTGATGACTAGACAGAACTTCATTTTCCCTGCACCGACCTAAGATAACGAGTTGGTCACATTTCACCACTGGACTGAAAGGCCTAATTACACAGGATTTTCTTCTCCTTAGTATGAGACATTTGGAAGGCATCAGAATTTTACTAAGACCTGGATGTTTACTGGTGATTTCATATTGTTATTTAACTCACATACTTATGATTTTATAGTATGTCTGAGTAAGATTTTGCTATACTGGCATTACACATTAATGGACACCAGTAACAAGTATGGGTGTTTTCTTAAAGCAGAGCAAAAACAAGTGAGAAATAAATAGGTAAGATTATCTGGCACACAAAACTGAATGTCTATCCCCACATCTCATCCTTTAATGGGCAGTCTTTACTTTTAACTGAATGCAGTTATGCCCACGAAGACATATGACAGCTCCAGGGCAATACACTGGAATGCTGCCTGGTTCATTGTCTATTCAGAATTGTCACCCAGGCTTCCTCATTCAGGTCTTTTTTATGCAGCAGTCTAGTGACATTTGAAAGCGGCCTCACTCAAAATACTATCTACACAATTTTTAATGTAGACAGATGGTGTAAACTAACTATTTTTTCCTGAAAAAACACCATAATTACTGCGCTATATGACTGAAAAAACAAACTTGATTTTTATTTTCCAGATTCTAATGTTTCAAGTGCTTATCATTGATCAAAATTCCATTACTCACCTGTAGAAGGCAGGTGACATGCTCTTCTTCTAGCCTTTGCTTAGTCAAAGCTTGTTCAACATCCCATCCTGAAGCTGTGGAGCCTGTTCCAAAGCCTGTACCCTTAGCCCAGTACAGCTGCTGTTCTTCTGTTGCTGCACTGTTGTGTGTACTTGACACTTGTGGCTAAGTTAAAAACAAACAAACAAACAACCACCCAAAAATAAAAAACACACACACACAAAAATTCCACTTTTTTCATCTTATGAACCAATTCTTTAGAAAGCTTTAGTTCTGCAAAAGAAGATAATCCAAATTTATTAACTTAATAAATATATAACTGGGATTCAGAGGAATTCAAACCTTTATATAGGAAAGACTCTGCCACATACATGGAACTACAGCACAGGTCAGTCCTAAATTGTTGCAAGTGATTCTTCTGTAATTTCATTTTTGTACTCTTTTAAGATACTCTCACTGATTACAGGAATAAAGGTATTAAAATGCTACTTAATCAATACCATGCTAAATATTACAGCTCTGTAATTATTACTGTTTAAAACTTAGTCAAGTTTAATAGCACAATTAGACGAAGTGAATGTAAGTAGAAGTGCTGTCAAAAGCACACAAATGAAATGTTAAGATGCTCAAGCGCGTGTGATTTTGAATAAACGCTCCAAAATGGCAAGAAGCATAAGTTACATGTATAGCTCTACACATGATCTCTGCGTCACTGAAACACACGCTATTTTCTCTTCAGATAGTAGGGAAGAAATGCCTTGTCCTTAAAATGTTCTGAGACATAGCAAAGGTGCACGCATGCCTTTTTCCAATGGTGTGCATCATTGCATTTTACTACCATAACTCCACTATTATATTGCTTAGCCCTTATGAAACTATTTATGTACTTATGCTAAATTGGAAAGTGTACCAGATCTTTGGCAAAAAAGATGCAGAAAAAACTCCGATAAGCAATTTTTATCTAATGCTTTCCTAACTATATATTCAGCACCTTAAACAAGTGACCTTGTTTTCCAAAGCAACAGCAACACTTGCTACTTTCATTAGATTTATTCAGTGACAATTAGCCTTACTGGAAACCAGGTCACGTGAATAGGTGCCCAACTTTAATTTGTAATATTTGATTTACAGCTCTGAAAAGTTTCATTTGCTGTTCAGATTTTCTTTAGTGACTTTATTCAGGATTATACTTGAAGGAAAAGAAATTATGTATGAACAGACTGCAATGGTAAAGAAAAAAAAAGAATCGCCTATTAAGTACTATACTGACATCAGTCTAGAATCATCATTTAACTTTTACATGGGGAATGTAATGCACCTCGGTGATGAAATAGCTGTGCGGTTATTCTCATGTAGACATTACTCATTACATCACGCGGGAACACGTTGTGCCTTTAACACTCCAGAGGACTGTCAAGAGCACTGACTTAAAACACTTAAGGGAAAGCCTGGCCCCAGAAATACAAGTCTCAGTGCAGGCCTGATGGATCTCTAGTTTCAAGTTACCATCTATCACCTGCTAGATATGAATTATGAGAAAGCAAGCTGTTTAAGGGGTCATGGTAGAACTGAAGCAGAGATAAGAATTAATGGCTGCCCTTTCCCTCCAAAAGCAAAATAATGCTAAGGTGTTAATGAGTTAGAAGCCTAATATCCCATTAGAAGCAGAGTATCTCAGCTTCCCCTTAAATCTGACGAGCCATTACAGTGAATTATTCTCAGGCACAGCTTCATCTCTTCCTTGCTCAACTCCTCATCAGTATCAGAACTGCTGAAATATGGATAGGCCTATATTTTGAAGCTACTTAGGCATATTTAGCCATCAGGAACTTTTTCATGCAAGCCTGTGCCATGAAGATACTAAAGAGAGCAAATAATTTTTTTTTTAAGCATTTTTATAGACAAATGGTATGTTACGCAGAAATGGCAACTCATAATTCTAAAAAAAAAATCAGGGGATATATGTTCTGAATAGAGGTAGCATAATATGATAGTCACATTGAAAAAGTTTAATTTTGGAAATTCACTTGGGATCTTGAAAGCTGTGGAAATTTTTTTCTTTGGATTTATTTCCTCAAGGGGATTAAAAAAAAACATCACTGCATTAATTCATTAATTTTCACAACTCATTTATGTTTGTGAAGCGGTTAAGAGGAAATAATTTGCAGCCAGTAGAGTTTAGATGATGAATGCTAAATAAGGTAATGAGGTCATGCTATCTAATGAGGATTAAAGAACCACCATCCATTGAGCATTATGCTTCTCATGCACTAAAGAAGGTCCTGTGAAAGAAACTGATTACACCTTAAGGTCTCATGAGAAGCCTTCTTTGTTGGATAGTTTTCATTACTACTATGTTTATTTGCAACATGCAAGGACAACTACTTAATCAAGTACTATCTAATTGTTTTGCTCTCCATTCAAATGCCAACTCTGTAGAAATTAGACTATAATGAAAGCATAGAGATTATTTTCTTTTTTATAGTTAAAACTCTTACTACTTCTGCTGCTAAACTTACCTCTGCCTGATTGGGACTCGAGTTGGGTACTCTTGGTGCATGGTGGCTTAGAGCAGACAGACAAGCTAGGATAAGATGTATAGCACCAATCTCCAGTGCCATCCGCCTAAGCAGTACTCCGTCATCAGTAGTCAACGGTGTAGTGCTGAACAAACTTCGCAACACATGGAAGGGCAGAGTTGGAAGCACGTTTGCTGAAGGAGACTGCAGGATATGACCTAAATTTAAGAAGAAAAATATGAAAACCACATTTTCTTTCAATAGTTCAATACAGCCTATTTATCTCTGCAATGGTTTATAAAAAACATATACAGAAATATAATAAGGACATAAGCATTCGTATATAGTAAGCTAGCTAATATTACATTTCTCTTCACAAAAAAAATTAAGGAGGAGAAGAGTGTAGAAGAAAGATGTTTCTTTATTTTCTTTATGTATTTGGTTAAGAACCAAAGTTATAAAATCTGATTCAGCACTTTCAGGGAGAAAACTTTGTTTGTGAATAACATTGAGTATACTTCTCCATTTGACTGCACTTCAGGTCATACTTCTGAAGGAACAAAATGAAGCTGGTTCGGACTACATTATTTTTTTTTTTAAACCATTTCAACTACACCAAGTTAAAGAATTCCCATGGTCCGTTAACAGCTGCTCAGCTGACAAGGAGATGCAGTTTATCATGATGTAGGATTTTTTTTCCCACATTCATGTGCCAAAGTGGCAATTAAGTCACTGACACAATCCAAGCTGTGATGCTATTCAAGTTGACTACATGGTGAAATACTAATTATGTCAGTCAGATGAGCTGCATGTCTGAATTTTGTAGTAGAGGTATTTTAATTTTTTTTACCCTTTTGCATGATGAGCAAAATTTACTTTCTTCAAAAGCCATGTTTCAAATAATAGAATCATCTATTAATGCAACGTACTCAGATTTGGGAAACTGTCTCAATTTTTTCTGTATTTAATGATGCACTTCACATTCCTTCTCCTGTGCATATGTAAACAGAGATATGTGACAACTGCAAATACTGAAAATACTTCAAAATAGCCAACTCTGTTCAGAAGTTCATTTATTTTAAATAAATACATTTATATTACTTTCTCCCTCATTCTCAGAGTTTATTACATTTAAAATAATCCAGAGATCTAAACTGAAATACATTACAAATATGCATGTTGATATTCGTATGTATATGCATCTACACACACATTTTAATTCACATCTATCTGATACTCTCTGTAAAAAGAATAACAAGGAAGCAAAAAGTCCTCTGACTAGGATCTGCATAAGTAAAACTGAACACCTCTGGAAAAAAGCCCATTTGAAAGGCCTTCCAGAACAGCAAGTGCAGTCAAATGACAAGGAGACAAAAAAAATTTAAAAAAGAAAACTAACCATTTGCCCATCATTTATCTTTGCAGACAACTGAATCCATGTTTAATCTATAAGCCATAGGTTTGTAAGTGCAACTCTTCATATTATGCGAGAAAGTAAATAGACTCAAGGTGTCTGAAAAGATGCATTTCCAGCAGAAAGGGAAAACATTAATGCTTTATACAGAGAACTAATGTGGAGTACTCTGTATAATTGATCCCACATTTCGTAAGGAGTTAATTCAGACATTTGGCTTAGGGAATACAGAAATTGACTGTTTAGTCCAGGAAAAACAAAGGCTAAGAGGGAATACATTTCCTGTCAACAAATGCATCAGAGAAAGAGCAGCTATTTATGATGAGGAACAATACTGGCACAATGATAAATGGGCACAAACTGGTTATTAATAAATTTAGGCTGAAAATTAAAGCAGCCCCTATCAGGAAAATAATGTTCTCAAACTGTATTCCAATAACAATGGCGGATGCACACACACACAAAAAAATAGCAACTCAAATTTTAAGGGTCTGAGTTAGTGTCATTATTAAAAGAAATAAGAGGATATAAAAATTGTTTGCAAGAGCAAGGGACTGGAACCACTCAAGGACACAAAAATCTGCATATACTCCTTCAATTAATTATTATTCAAATTAGGTGGGAGTAGAGCAGCCAGACTGAATTTTTGTTACCCAGTTTATTCCTGTCTACTGTCCTGTAACTAAATACAAGATAAATAAAAAGATAAAAAGACTCTCTGGTTTCCCAGTTTGTCTTATGAGCTACATCTTGTCCCACACTCTATAGGCTGCTGAACAGAGTAATTTCTGTTGACTAATGCATAGAAAAACCAGCATTCTTTTCAAAGTCATAATGAAAGGAAAGGCCTTGAAAATACTAAACCATCTTTCACATACACTCTTCTAGTTTTTCAAAACATTTAGAAATAGAAACACTAGAGCTATACGCGTAATTCCAGGTTAGTTGCAAAGACACTGACCACAAATTGTCTTTCAGCTCATCTGTTCATTCATTGAAGAATAGCCCAGTTCTTCCTCTGAACTCACGCCATTAGTTCCTGCTCAGCTACACTTCTAGATCTTTCTCTCCTTTTCTAAAACAGTGTTATTCAACAGTTCATTCTATATCTGCTGTAGTTATGCTTTTATCCATATTATTCTGCATTTGGTTGCAGAATTATACATTTGCTCAATTAGATGAGCATACCCAGCAACTGAGATCATTCTGCTCGAGCACACTGTCATCTTGACAGTGTCACTGTAAGTTTTATCAACAGTTATTTTACAATTATTCTGATATCTAGTGACAAAACTCTGCCAGAAAGAACTTAATATTTAGAGAAAACAGACTACTAAGATGCTAGCAACACAGTTCTGCACAAACCAATTGTACTGGCTAATGTAAAAGCATTACAGCGTAAATAAATTTAAGTAAAATCATCTAGTTGTGGTCTACAAAAAAACATAATAATTGCAGCACATACTTCCTTCACCATCATCTGTAACTCCCAACACCAATCTCAACAGACACTGAGCATGTTTCCGTTCTTTTAGCAGCACCTCAGCATAGCCCGGGAGACGAAGAAATAAACCAAAGGCAGCCAAAGAATGTGCAGGTATGGGAGACATAGTCTGAACCGTTGACTTGATCGGTGGAGGTTCTGCAGCAATTGTTTCTGGTGCTTCATACACCAACTCCCCTGACTGTTCAATGGTGACCCATTCAAACTGATCACTGTCCTTCAGCTTTTCCTGCGTGGTCGATGTAACCACTGGAGTGCTCACCTTAAGCAACAAAAACAACAAAAACATCTGGTAGTCATTCATTTAATCACTGAGGTAAATTTTTTATTACAGTTAGGATCTAAAGGACATACAGTCTTAATATAGGACACTATTAAAAAGTCACATGAAATACACTACAGTTCACAGATATGGGGACCAGGTTGAATGGCTAAAGAGGACACAGTTGTTGCATTTTCAGTACAGTTCTAGAAAGTCCCACCTACACAAGCAAGCAACTGTATTTTACCAACCTCAAATCCTCAGTTAAAATGTGTTGCTTAAAATCTAGAGGCATAGGAGTCAAATTACATCGAAATAAACAATACAAAGATTAGTTTATATATCACTGTTAAATAAGAAATGGCCCTTTTATTTTTAACATTAAACAGTGTGAACTCAAGTGGTTAATTTTTAATCACATCCTGGAAAAAGAAGAAGAATTAAATCGTAAGACCTTTACAAAATAAGAAATTTGGGTATGCTGTCAGTCTTGTATAGCCACTCGTGCTCCTTAGGGGCTTCCAATTGATTTGAGAGGTTTTATTTTATTATGGTTGTGCTCTGGCACAAGTCTGTAGTTCTGTTCTATGAACTGACACAGCACAGAGGACTTCACAGCCCAGCATTACAGTTGCACAATCCCCCAGGAAGCAGTCATAAAATGAAGGTGTGACACCTAGGTCCCTCTCATAATTAAACATCACAGCAGCTTCAAGCTTTTATGCTATTCAGATGAAGTGATGCAATCATATTTAAAATTTTAGTTTTTATCACTAGACTGATCTAAAATGGAAAAGATGAATTCGAAAAGGCCTTGCAGAATTTATTCAGAATACCAAATTCCTAATTACAAGTCAAAGCCATGTTTAGCTGCATTTATTCCAATCACCTACTCATTAAGAGAATAATTATGAGAATCTTTAAATACAGAGCTTACAGAATAAGAAGTGTCAATGACTTAGAGAAATATAACAGTAAAATTAAGGAATGAAGAGTCTGGAGAATTCATCAGTCTTCACTCTGAATCTTCTATTTGGTATTATTGTACTTAATTTGTTTTTATGGATCACAGAATTCTTACTCAGTGTTAGAATCCAAACTTATATCTCAAGCTTAAAAACTGAAAATAAAAAGCTTTCCAGGACTACAGAAAAAGGAGAAAAAAAAAAAAGATTAAATTTCTCATGGTCCTAAGTTGCCTTTCATCTGTTGCAGAATTCCATGAATATATCTTCAATACTGAGTACACATTACCTCCATAATTGCTTATGTGAAAACATTTCCTTAACTTTTAATTTTTGAACAGGCTTGATACTAAACATCTAAAACATCTTCACAGAACTATATACAAAAAATCCATACTAATTACCTGGTCTCACAACAGGGTTCTATTCCTGCCATAGTACTAAACAGAGCCCTTAATTCACAATTAACTTAATTTCAAAAGGAATAAATACTCACAAGCTTCCCTATTAGCAGCAGTTGCCAAATTTTCAAAAATATAGCCAAAAAAAATCTGAATAATTCACAGGTTATTTTTTCCCTTTTTAATATTGTCTACCTAGAAAGGCACCCAAAGGAGTAGTTCCACACTAATGCCACTACTGATACTTTTGAAAAGCCTACCAGTGGCTCCAGAGAACTTATATACAAAATTTCAAGTATATAAATAAATAACATATATGTAAGTATACAAATAACATATATATTTAATTTGTTTTATAGATATTATTTATTATTATAGACATAATTGAGATTATTCAGCTATTTATTATTTATAATAACAAATCTAAATAAAATTATGAAGTCTGCTTCAAGAACTGAATTTCACTTAATCATAAAAAACCACTAAGGGTACGTTTACATGAGCAATTAAACGATAAGCAAGTATGACTTTCTAGTACATCAGCCACTTTATGTTACTGCACCCTTCAAGATATTTTACAAATTAACAGAAGCAAGGCAAGCAGCAACACTGAATTCATGCATTTCACAAGGACGTAGCTATTTAAAATACCTATAGCACGTCGAGGAGAGCAGCATCTACAGCTGGACTGGGCTGTGGAGATACACACTCACCTATTTTAAAGCAGCTTCCCCACATCACTAAGATGTCAAACTGAACCATAGAGAAATATGAGGAAAATACTGTCCTTAAACAACAGTCACAACACTCTTGTTTTTCTACACTGATTTTTTCACTCACTTGTTGAATTACATCAGGATAAAGCATAGGGAGCCTCTCTGCAATAAGGGCCAATCCACCCATTCCTGCAAAAACTTGCAGTGGAGACTGAATGGGACAGGTTTCAAGAAGTGACTCATCTAGCACTGCATCCATGCACTCATCCCCAGGACTGATGGCTTCATCTTCGGGGCAAGGTCCCAGTAAATCTGCATGTTCTACAAAAACACAGGAGTAAATTAAATTATTACATCATCATCAATATTGTGTTTATTTCTTCGTCCTCATTTAGAAGTGTACTTAAAAAGTAGCAGTTGCTTCTTAAGCAAAACTTGAGTAAAGAACCTGAAATGCATGAGTACAAGAGCATCAAAAGAAAAGTATTAATGATACATTTTGCCAGTGATGGCACTGCCATGTTATAACTTGGGATAATTTATAGAGGGTTACATGTTAATTATTAGATCAAATTCTAATAAAAGGTAAAATTCTATGCCTTCAGAATTTTGTTAAATTTGGAAGTATGACATTTTTAACACTGTCTTTCAACTAGGGGGTAAGAGTAGGTTTGTTACTCTGAGAAAGAGTTTATAGCTGAAGAAAGGAAAGAACGTCACTACTTGGTCTTGTTCAGCGTTCTTGAGGAAACAGCAAGAATTTATTTTTCGTTTCTCCTTTCTGATAATTTAACTCACCGTCCATAAAGTCCTATCAACTCACCACACGTATCATTCTCACATCTCCTCTCTATGAGGCATCAAAATGCCTCTCTTCCAAAGCTGTGAAGTGTAATTATATTTTTCCCCATAAAAAAGATCAAGACCTCTATATAGCACCAATGGATTTGTAATGACAAATTCACATTTTCAAAAGTATTAGTCTCAAGTTTTTTAAAAAAAAGCCTAGTAACTTAGTAAAAGTTCAAAGAGGACCTTTGTGTTTTCACATGCAACTCTATGACTGAACTGAGCTTCCCTCTAATTAATTTTGAGTTTCATTTCAATAGAAAAATATTGTACCCTTAGAACTTAAATAAATGGCAAAACTACAGAGAAGTTATGTACATGTCAAGAAATAAAATACACTGTATCTATACAATCATATAATCGTATCATATACAACACTACAAAGAGGAAAGAAAAGTGAAACCACAACAACCGTATTGGTGCATTTTATAGATATAATCTAAAGACAGGCAATGAATTTGTTCTTTATCATCAAGTTTAGCACTTGTCTTGTAGAGAATGGCTCAGATACGTCATCCAAGAAAACACAAAAAACTGCTGCTTCTTACTAAGAAAATCAAAACTATTTTTGTCCAAAAAGGCATTTTAAAATAAAGAATATACAAAAAAAGGCAAAAAACACTCACCTTTTTCTGTGTGAAGACGTTTAAATGAGTCTGTTTTTGATAAGCTTGAATCTGAGATGACTTTGGAACCAAGTTTAACTGTCAAATCGATTGATCGGTATCCTTGAGGGAGTTTACGGTCATACAGCAGAGTCAGAAGCTGGGCAAGTGTCATTTCAGCTGGTAACGGTTGGCCTAAACAACACCATTGAGTCAGAGGGGAAAATTACAATCGGGCTATTTTAACATAAATGTCCAGGTGTTGTTCATTACTTGTGCCACAGATGCCAAGCAGACTAAATATGATCTGGCTCCAAACCAGGGCCTTAATTTTAACATTTGTTCTCTTGGGAAAAAGGGCCCCAGCAGTTTGGAACCAACTATCAAAGAACTATGCCAGCGTTCGCTACGGCAGCTCTGGGCCAAGAGGCCAAGCACTTGGCATATTTTAACACATGGGTAAGGCTGTAATTGGACGTGCGTTTTAAGCAGGTATTGCCTGTCCCCTACTATTAAACCCCACCCCATTCACACTTGAATTGTGGTGGCAGAAAGGTGTGTAACCATACGGTAAAATGGCTTAAGTGGAAAAAGTCGAAAAGAAACCTGCAGCTCTTTTTCAGTGCTGTTAGTCCCAAGCATAGCTCACTACTCCTGTGTCAGTATTTTTCAGCAAGAAAAATATGAATGGCACTGCCAGGAATACTTTAGTCAGCGGCAACACAAACTTGAAATGCACATGCAATACAACCCAAACTGATTACTCATAGCAAGGTTTTGGCCTCTCTGTTGTTTACAAAGAATATGTTCCTCCTTGAAGTTAGAAGTTACTCTCAGGACAGAACAACTTTTTCCTGAAAACAAGTAGACTTACATATACAGTGAACTGTTTCAGAGCTGGATCATATAATACATTTAGCATGCCCATTTCATATTGGCTGTGCTTAATCAAGTAACACAAGTTCCAGGAAGGTCTTTAGTAGCAACCTGTTTTGTCAATGGAAGATAGTTTTTCAAGAAATTAAAACTGAAAATGTCTTGCCATTGTGCAAGTGAAGACATTTTCTGCCTTTTTTTTTCCCTCTACACTTATTCTGCTTTCCATGGCTTCTTTTTTTGTAAGAACTGGCTGTTGCAACACATGTGTGATTCACCAGATCACAAATACAGAAAGGTCTACATTGTCATTAGCAGATGGCCAACCTTTATCAGCTAGACACTGAAACAGGCACTGAGTTTTGACTTCCTTTCCAAAACAGTGGCATTAACTGTATCAGTTTTAGATATTTTAATCCAAGTATATGATCTCTCTAATAACTGCCAGAGGATAGCCTCAAAACCGATAATTCGGTGTAGCAAGTTTTAAATTTATTTTTTTATTGGGTGAAAATGACTTTAATCAGAAGTTTAACATTTAATTGCATTAGCTGGTTCCTTGCTTTTCTAATATAAAACAGATGAGAAGCTCTTTCACATAATATGAAAGTTTTGCACATATTCCTGTTCATTATGCCTGATCTAAAGTTAAGAATTCCAGTCACACCTCTCTCTCTCTCTCTCTCTCTCTCTCTGTCCCAACTACAACATTGCCACCAGCTTGGTCCAGACAGGTGATCAAATGTGAGTAGTCATGTTTTACATATAGCAGGTAAGTGCTTAAGACATGCTGGTTTTGAAAATGCAAGTATTATGGAATACAAGAATATTCCTGAACTGACAAATCAACCTTCCAGAGAGCAATGCAAGCTGGCTGTCCACTCAGAACATAAAATAACAAGGCACAAATACCAGTTTAGTTCTGTCTTGTAGGTCAAAGAAAATGTGAGTCACAATACAAACCCATCTTTCTTTTATTTCTGAGTGTAAGTGGAAATGTTTTTGAGATTTTGTTTAGGAACAAGAAACTAAACTTCAAGGAAGATCAGCATAATTGTCATTTCTGTCAAGTCACTATGATGTTATAACGCCCCACTTCCAATTGAAAGTTGTTACCCAACCCAGAAGGCCTGTACACCATAAGATGCTAAATAGAAAGATAAAGATATCCCTTAGCATTACATCTGCTTTCTGATGACATATCAGCCACTGAAAAGGATTGTAATTTTGAAGTTTAAAAACAGTTATTAATGTTACCTGGCAGGAGTTTATGGTATAGATGAAAGACTGGAACACTAATGGTCTTGCTGGAAGATTCTCCTCCAGAGGAAGAGGTTCCTACTTTATCTGCCATCACTCTTCCTCGCCTTGATGGTGGACGTGGAGGGGTGGATGAAACGGCTCTTTTTGACTGCGATTTCAAACCTAGTACAGAAATAAAAAATTCAGGATCATTCTGGTATTTAATAACTTCAGCTAACCAAGATGCAATGTACTCAATACCTTCAATGATAGCAAAAAAGTAAAACTTGTCAGCACTGGCAAATTAAATATCAGAATAGCATTCAAGTATAAAATATATTTGGATATAATCCCAATATTTTTACAGTTATAAGGCTGTGCATCCTTCTGAGCCCCAAACAGAAAAGAAACTGTAACTGTACTAAATTATATCATCCATTAAAAAAAGCAAAAAATATTCTGATTCTGCTCCTAAACTTAGTTAAAGAGTCTGTCTAGCAATGGGCCCTACAGTAAAAGTTTTTTAGGCTTTTATTCAATTGCAAGCAAGAAAGGCAAACATTTTTAAAGTGACAATGGATAACAACCACTTGTCTGGCCTACCAATGTGACCTGAGCTGCAGTACTGAAAACAGCATACGTGATGAAAAGTGTCTATAAACATGCTTTTAAAGTTGCCTACATCAAAACCTTCAAAGTAAGCACTGCATGAAAGTTAGAGGGCAGAATAGGAATATAAAAGCTTACTGAGCTTATATAGAGCAAGACTGCCATGTCTTGGGACAGCTTAAATTGACTTAAGGTACAGTGAAATTATACTACTATCATGTATCCTTCTATGAAGGTGACAGATCAAGTAAAAAAATGTCAGCAGGTCCATATACAGAGACTGATACAACTACTACTGCTTCATAAAGCAAGACAGCATAAAGCCAAGACTAGCCAGACAACTAAAACATCCATACCTGAAATACTACAATATACTCTTGGTGTCAGCTGATCATTAGGAGCAGCTATAATATGCAACACACTCTCCAATTATCTCAGCACACTAAACTAGCTTGACTCAGGAAGATCAGGCTCCAAATACCATCTCTACTCTCTATTAATTGTACCAATAAAGAACAAGTTAAACATTGGCTGCATGAGGCTCCGAGGACACTAAAAAACACCCCAGAATATATAAAACGATAAAGATAGAAGAAGAAAAGATTTCACAAAGGGGTTGTAAAAACAAAAGCAGATGAAATAAGTTTCCATTTATACTGTTTTACTCACCTAGAAAAAATACAAGCAAAACCAAGGAAAAACTTAAGTCTGCCTCTTTCTAAGTAGGTAATGGCCTACAGCAGCCAGTATGATCAGAGATGCAACTGGGATGCGACACAGCTGACCATGCTATGCTCTATCTTCAAGCTTGGTATATTACTATTTTTCTCTCCAGATTATTTATTCATGTTTTAAGCCTTCACTTGGATCCAATATTTTAGATACTACCAAAGTATGTTTACCCTAAGTGACACTTAGTGCAAATATCTTTCCAGATAAAGATACTGTAATTAACTACCAGTTGTGTTGCTTTAAATACATATCAAGATCCATGAAACTGCTGCTCTATTCAACACATGAGTTTAGAGTTATTTCTACATCTAAAAACCTGAAATAAAAAGCTTAAGAAATATTGGTGCCAGAAGTCAAAGGAAATCAGCATCTCTTCTTCATGCTTCATGAAGTGTAAATGAAACTGAGGTAGCTCAATGAAGGCAGAAAGCTAAATGGGAAAGGGTAGTTGGAGTTCACTCATCTTTCTCACACAGCTGAACTTCAAACTGAAAAAGACTAATGATCTCCCCAGCCATCATCTGAGCTGTGATCTTCTCGTACCACTGCAAAATTACTATGTTCAATCTATAACCTCCACAGCAGTTTTGGAGGAGAAGGGTTTATGTGAACTATTTCAAAAGGATCTTCACATTTGTGTTTAGAAGGCTGATGATTTGGAAGAAAATCCTGAATATGTGGATTCCAAGTGGAAAAACACAGCTTTATGCTTACATCTCCATCTGACAGTTTTTAGCACAGCACCATCAGTTGTTATGTAAAGTACATGGATCCATTTAATTCCAAAGCATATTATGGTAACAGGTGATTAGACTCTGATGCACCAGCCACGGCAAAAAGGTAGAGATAGTAATACCCACATCTCAATACTAATATATTGCTATATAATCCAAGCTCCAGATATAGCTCTAGAAAATACTGTAAAATGCACTAGCAACAGCATCCACAACAGATCACTGGCACACACATTTAGGTATAGATTTGTCAAAGCATATAATCCACTAGAGGCAGCAGTTCTACCAGGAACCAATCTCTGCTGCCTAAAAGCCAGTTAGATTACTTGGGCACTACAATTTTTCTAAACATCATTAGTAATGAAAAGAATTGCTGGTAGATACGATTCTTTGCTCCACTGCCCCAATGTCTGAAAGATCCATTTTTCAGAAAGTGGAAGAAAAGAAAAAAAAAAACAACCAACAACACACCAGAAGCAACAACAACACTGTAATTGTCCTGAAATCCATTTTCAGCTTTAACTTTTTCTTTCTCTTCATAGTTCTTTTTTTCTTTATCTTCCTTCTGTTCATTAATTAGCTTAGCTGTGATACTGGGTGTATCTATACAGGGAAAAAAAAGAGGAGAAAAAGGCATTTCAAGATACCAAGTTGATTTTGTTACAGTTTCTAGGCTGTTATAGTAAGGCTATTCTCAACTATTTTAGTGGCTTGGAGTTCCATTGCTGGCAGTAACAGTTGTGTAAGTACCTATGAATTAAGGTATCATGATAATTCTGGTCTCCTATTTCCCCCAAAATCTGCCCTCTGACAATTTAAAACTGTAAAAACTTAAAATCATTACCTCATGAGTCAAGAGTATTCATGTTAAACCACCACTGCAACCAGACAAAAATGAGATTAAGCAAAATAAACAAAAAGAAAACCAAGAAACCACCAATCAAAACACCAAAACCCATAAACAAAACAACAAAAAAATTCACAACTTTTTCAAAGGACACCTGCAGACTTATTTAAATAAACTGCTGTATTTAAGTCTCAGTATCTAGTGTTATATATTGGCTCAATCTGACACAGGATATTCACAACTTCCTGCTGTTGCAGTGGTGACAGTTTTTTCCTCCTTTTCAGCCCCAGTCCACCCCTTCTCTCTCCTTGTCACCCCAAAACCACAGGTTTCTCCTCGTATACTTAATTCTTCTTTACTACTTCCTCACCATGAACTTCATAGAACGATACACAAGTAACACAAAGCTTTTATTACAACCAGAGAAATCACATTAGATGAGGGATTGAAAAATAAAAGAATCTGAGTTTTCCAGAATGAATTCTTTCAAGTTAAAATGAGAGTTAAGCTGAGGAATAACAATTCCATAGCAAACTCCAAAAGTTCCGGTGTGCTACAAAGTCAGCACTTCACCAATTTCAATTATAGGCATTCCCATACATCACATCACCACACTCCCTCCCAGTCCCCATCAGCACGGGCTATCAAGTTGACCGTGATACACCACCACGGCAGCTGCTCCGTACAGTTTACGTCACTGCTCAACAACTGATCCCATCTCCTGTGCAGCAACTACCCCATCCATTACAGTCACTGCACAACGATCTAAAAGACTGTGGTCACATTCCACACATGACTCTGGACAGTAAATGAATCCAGAATTCTATCAGAAACAGTAAACTATTCTCTGACAAACAAGTGTCAAACACTTGTCTAGGCTTCACCATTTTTTAATTAAAATCTCAGAGCACATCTTGTTTTGTCTAGTGTTCTGGCAAATACCTTTGTAGTACTTCTATCATCTTGTTAGGCAACATACTTGTTGCCCTAATGAATTTAACAATTTCAATATAAAAATCATCAGTATATATGAAAAAGCAATAGTTCTTCTGAACTCCATGAAGATCTGCTTCAAAAATTAAAGCTAATCTACATGAGTTCCAGAAAATCTATCTACATATGAGAACATACATACCTAGTCAGGTATGTGTGCAGCTAAGTGCATGCACTCCAGTGCACATCTGCAAAATGGCAAAGTCACAATTGCTGTGATGACCTTTGACTTTTCTTTGCTATTCCTGAGAACCACATCTTAAAAGTAAAGCGGAAGTGCTGTTTATTTTATTTTTAATTACATATGCTTAAAACTGGTTTTTTATATAACATGACCTAACAAATTTTGCTCCGTTTCTCACGTGAGGAGGATTAACTTGCATCTTGCCTAGTAATACCTACAGAGCTCTGGCATGGAGACAAAACCTTTAGTATGAATTCTACACTTTAACTGTGTTTTTAAAAAGATCACTAACCCAAATCTTTAACATACAGCTCTATTTTCTAAAGTATTAATAAACATTGAAGTTCAAAGTGGGATTAATTTTAAGATTAAGACCAACCGTTCAGGTGTCAAAATTCATATTAAGGTCTGTGGAGGCCTGTTCAACAGAGTCCCCCTACAGAGGGGTTCATCTCTCCATGTATATTATTCAAGTAGCATAACTGAAAGTACTGAACTTAAAAAAAAAAGAACAAAACTAACAAATAAAATAATGCCATAACATTATCCTTTAATTGCATACAATTTTGAAATTTATCTCTAGAAGTAAATGATGGTTTTCAATCTCCATTTAGTAAAGCAAGCTAAACTTGCAAATATCCCATGAGAAACTTGAGAAGACATTAATACTAAAAAGCAAAAACATAAAAACCCCAAACCACAAACCAACCAAAAACCCCCCAACCAACCAAAAAAGCCAATTAATCAAACACCCCCACCTGTCCCACCTGAGATTTACAGAAGGAAAAAAAAAAGTATTTTACCAGTAAAATTACATTTTACATGGAACATATACGGCATATGCAAAAGCTTAGGAGTTAAACCACTGTTTTATATTCGGCAATTACTGACAAACACTGCAAATACGTATGTTAGACATACTTGGTTTATGCAGGTTTTTTCATTTTGTTTTGTTTAAATTATATCTTAAAAAAATAAAACTTGAAGTATTGCAAACTTGCCTGACACACGATCAAGAACCTCTGCCAGAGTTGTTGAGACAGGCAAATGAAGAGTACGAAATTTGTGCCCAGCTCCATACATTGGATGTTGAATGACATGACTGGTAGCATTAATTCTACCTTTGTACAGCTGAAAAGAGAAAAAAAAAGAAAGGGTCAACATTAACACGATTTTAACTTTCAGAAATAAGTTAAAACACGAAGTTCTTGCAGAGTCACCACAGCAAAATAAAGGCACATCTTTTGTGTGCTAAAAAGAAAACTGACATATCCTTCATCTTTGGAGGTATACGGTAAAAATGCATCGCATTACAAGTAGTTTAATTTTCAAACTCAAAAGAATTTGCTTCAAAAGACTAGAATGTTTTTAGGATCAGAAATAGTATGATATCATATTTCTTTTAAAACACACAATCATTTTATACAGCTGTATATGAGAGAAAAATCAAGTGTCTGAAACTTGCAATTATTTATGAAATTAAAAATTCTGAAATTAAATTAGGAAAATTGCAATATACTTGGAGTAGAGAGAGATGTAATTTCTCTGTTGCTCTGACTTATGGATGTTGTTTATTCTATATTTAACATAATTTTTGCTATTATGAAGGATAACTAAGACACTACTAGTTAAAACCATCCAAATGTTTAACGTATTTCAGCCTGAGCTCTGTTCACATTTTGTATCACTCACTGCTTGCAGTGACTTTTTATAGACTTTTTTTGCAATGAGAATGCCACTGGTCCCCTTCCTCCTATGATCAGGAGAACTATTTACTAATATTCACATACAAAAACAATTTATTGTTGTGCAATATTCTCACACAAGTTTAATGCTTGATGACAATCATATTTTAGCTTATACAACATAGATTTGATAAGAACTCAGGACGTAAGAACAGGTATACACTGCACATCCACGCTATTATTAAGGTTTCTCTCTGGATGTTAGAATCACTGTCTCTTCAGTAATAGCAGACAGATTGTTTCCTGGTGTTTTTAATAGAAGAAACTAAATTATCTGACAACTTATTTTCAAGATATTTTAAAAAATGTGTTCTATGTAAAACAAATTATTAGAAACCTGATGTTACCTTCACATTACCAATGGCCATGTTAACAATTCATCACAGCCAGGTTAAAACAAAACACTTAAATTTTTAAACTAAAACTGTATTTGTCTCTCATTTTCCATTTTTTATTATCTCAGCCAGTTTCTCTGTTACATATCTCATGTAGTATTTTACTTCTGAGATGTAGGATGAACAGCAGAAACGAAAGCAGAAAATAATTTTTCCATCCATGGATGTATCAGATCTTTTAACAACTTCTCTTTTTTCTATATTGCTTTATTCACAGCTTTCAACTGAGAGCATAGCACTTCAGTCATTAATTAGAATTCTGTGTTACAGTGAAGCATGTGGAATTATAAAAGTATACATCTGCTTTACCAATTAATTCAAGTATTTGTCACTCAAGAATTTATTCATGGTGTTCTGGCTAATGCTGAAGGATGTCTGCCAATTCTGAAGCATCAAAACTATGATTATTCCTTAATTAAACTGATTACGAAGAACTGCTGGAAGGACTAAAACTTGTATCTATGTTTACTGTTAATGTCAAAAGATACTATTAAATAGTCTTACATAAGATAAATTTCAGTTGTGAGTTCTTTCAGAAGCAATATATTTTCAACAAGATGGATTTGACTTACAACAGTGCCTCAAATTCTTTTAAAATACTGAGTTACAATTCACCAACATATCCTTTCCAAATTTCCACAATCTGTACAGCAGGAAAAACTGTCATGTGACATTTAAAAGTTTAATATACTCTGATTTTTCTTTTTTAAAGGCTAAATTTATTATATGTTCACTACATGGTTATCAAAAATTCTTACTGGACATGGGGATTGAAGAAACAAAGTCACTTTCTCATCCTCTAGCATCAGCTGCAAAAAAAGCCTCCTAATAAATCCTGAAATATTTCCAGAGGTTGGGAGGTTCCCACGCTGAGGAGAGGACTGGAACAACTCACAGAGAACCTGGGAATGCAAAATGACATCAGATATAAAATATTTCTAAGTTTAGGTCTCTAAAATATAGCTCTGCACAGCCATAACAAGCAGTGCCCAAGATCTACCTTTCAGTTATCATTCAAACCTGGTCAGAAATGAGCACCACACAAGAAAATACCAGCAGCAAATAAGGGGTTTTTTTAATTATGAAGTTCAGGACCATGACTACAGCAAAAAAATACCTTTCAAATTCTTAAAATAAAAATTTCCTGCTGCATAATGCAGTATAACTACTGGCCATTAACAGAGAACTGTACTGATTTTTTTACTGAAGTCTACCTGCTCCCAGGGCATTGTCACTCCTAAGATTGAAAAAACCTTTTTTAAATTATACTTCCATTCAGCTAGGTCTGCAAGGTTAACAGATGTGAGGAAAATAGCTGAACTTGCACTAATATGCCATATGCAAAGCCACATTCTACAATAGCTTCTATTTTCCTGGTCACAGATTGTGCGGGGTATATAGTTGTGTGAGCAAATTTACCAGGAAATCTCTGTCTATTAAATGTACAATTTAATATTAAAGATGTGTATGGAGCTTGATTTCCAAATTCCATTTCAAAAGAGTTTAGATCTCTAGACAATTAAGTGTAGTATTTTGGATTTTGATCTGCAGTTTATTCCTCTAACCCAAGAGGAATACAAATCTACACATAGAACTGGATGGCCATGCTGAAACATTTTTGCTTTTCCAAATCAGACCAACAAGCTAACAATACAAAATTTTTCCAATCACGGCTTAAAGAACAAGTTATTCTGAAGGAAGCTAAAACAAAGTTATAAGTTTCAAAGGTTGGCTGAAGTTATTAATAAAGAAATGAACACTATTTTTTTCATTGTGTCTCACCTGTGCCATAAGTCTCTGGTTATTGGGATGGCAAGAAATGCACTGTAAGAAGAAAGCAACTGTTGCATTTTCAATTGCTGTCCGCTGCTGAGTAGTCAACCCTGTTGTTACAGTTGAAGAAAGCAAGCTAGATCTGGCACTGGTCTGTTGTGCTGTCACACTGTGTCCTCCAGAAGTAGCACCAGAATGGCACAACAAAAATAAAAGTGCTGTCCACAACGGATTGACTTCAGAGCCACCCAACCAATCCTTCATCATGTGGCTGTTACCAACTTCTGTCAAAAACCTGAGAACAGGAGCGACCAGGTCTGCCGTGATAGGCATTTTATTAAAGTGCTGTGGAACATGATGCCTCCTGAGCCTGTCCTGGGTGATATCCATTGATTGTGCAGTGCAGTCAGAGCTGGAAGTATGGTTAAAGCAAAAACTAGCGAGACTTCTTACAAGCAGTGAAGGCAAACCTGAGTCCAATAATTGCTTGATAGCTTCAGGAGACTGAGATGAGGCAGCAAGAGTAGCCAGGTGAGACTCTGTTAGTGCAAGAGGGGCTTGTGCGTTTTTAGAGTCATCCGTTAAAGATGAACTAAGGTCCTGCTTTTTGCTGTCATCAGTCATGGACAGTCTGTGCTGACACTGCATTGGCGGAGGAGTGATACCCATCCATCCCATGAGTAATGAAAAATAATTTGGGTGGATGTGGCACATTGAGCAAAGCAAACTATCAACGGCTTTCTTCAAAACCATGTTGCAGGGAAGAGACATGGACCAGTTAAACAGTGACCTGTGGAAGAAAGAAAATCATGTCAACACCTAGTTTGTCACCCATCTTTCTACATTTATGATTAACTATCGTACAAGCTGTTGTAAAACACGGAGTTGAGTGTGAAAGTCATTTGGATCAGAGTATCAGCAGGACATTCATTACCCAAGAGGCATTCCTCAATCCTATGTTTAAATTTCTTTCATCGTACTGTACTTAAAATAGAAACAAGCTTACTTTTCTGGCATGCAGCACATGAAAGACAGGATTTCTGTCTTTTGACAGTTGCCACATAATTTATGCATTTTTGAGCCCACAGAAACCTCTTAGTGCTTTCAACTCTCTAAGCTGCATCTACTAGGATCACACACACACACTCATTTACATAAAGCTCACTTAATCTTTTGAAAGGACAAAGTATTTTAACATTTTTCTAAAATTTTAGAAAATTTGTTTTATTAGAGTTCTACCTAGAAATGTTGAAAAAAAACCCAAACGAAACCAAAACCCCAAAAGCAGCAACAATCTTGATGGTTGAACGACATCACCCTCACTATCCTTACTCAACCTGAACTTAGGACACAGGTTAACAGCAGAATTATTCCTCAGAGATACTAAAATCCCACCTAGTTTTGAACTCACTTTCATCCAAACACTATGTGCTTGAATGCTAATCCAAGGAATACAAATGCAAAAGGTAATTTAGCACCTATTATTCAGCTCAAATTTCAGAATTGGTATTTGTAAAATAGTGAAATCATAATTTTTTCACACAGACTTGTTCAGAGTAGGGGAAGTACTAAAACCAAACCAATCCCCCATCCCCCCCCCAGTTTTCTGAACCGCACTCACAGTACCGTGACAAAACAAGCTGCATTATCTTAACCTTTATATACAGAGATGAACACACACTTCGTGCCACTTCAATGTTAGCTTTTTAAGTAAGTTTGGATGTAGCATCATATATCACACTCCCACTTGAAGACAAGGATTGTTTTTCCCCTCTTCTGGATGAAAGTGTTATTCCACGTTTAGTCTAAGGTACTCTTAAAAGTCTAAAACAGGCCATGGGTCTAACCCAGAGTTAGCTTTATCACCAGTCTAGTGAATGGCTGATAAACCCTCTCCAAGAGAAAACGTTAAAAAGTCAACTCGGTGACCAAATGACCCATAACTTTGGCAAGACAGTCACAATTTCCCTAAGTCTCCACATAATAAAGGCACACAAACTCTTCTCCAATGATATATTTACACACAATCCTTCCGCCAAAATTTTCTAAGTTCATGCTCTATGAAAAATAAGACTCTCTTCCAACTAGATATTAAAAAATAACTAAGGAATAAATTAGTATCCATTGGCCAAAACAGAAATATTGAAATGGAAAATGGGGATGATGGGAAAACATATCCAAGAGAAAAGTGAAATATTATATGAAGGAGAAATTAGGAGTTATAGCTAGAATCAATGAAATATTTCAAAAGTTAAAATCCAAGAGGATGAAGAATACATGAGAAGTTATTTTTGTTAGAAGAATTATTTACCCTTATAAGTCTGACAACAATTCTTCTATCTTTATTAAAAATGTATTTTATAATTTGCTCCAGATGCTAGCTGATATGAATTCCAGTTTTATTTAGCAGGATGTAGAAGAATGGGGCTATATTGCAACAGCATACTCAAACTAGATACAGTAGTTTTATTTGTATTCCTTCATTGTGTCCTTCAATGAAAACTCTCCTCCAAAAGACAGGAATTCACTTGTGAAACCCATTTTATACTAATATATATCTAAATGGGCTATCCATTTTAGGAAGTCTATTTTTATTAGTGTTCTTCCTTTACAAATGCTCAAATAGTTAAAATCCTTCCTGAAAATGTATTTCTGTTAAAATGTATTCCTGAACGGACTAATTGACGTCCAATTTAAAATCTCTATATTGACTGCCAAAATGAACAAGCTTATTTTGAATTAATTATTCATATGACAATATCAACGAAGTGTCTTTGAAAAAAAACATCTAGCTTGTAGTCAGGTATCTATATATTTGTTCCCCAGGGCTCAGTTTTTATCAATGATCTGGATGAGGGGATTGA